TGGAGGCATCTCTCCAAAAGAATTAAAAGAATCATATCAGAGAGATTTATGAGCACCTATGCTTATAGTGGCACAGTTTGTAATAGCTAAAACTTGGAAACAGCTCATTTGCCCATCAGCTGGAAACTGGATAAAGAAGATGTGGTTTTTCTATAAAATGGAATACTACTCAGCCATGAAGAATGATAAATTAGATTCATTCATAGGAAAATGGAGACATATTGAGGCTATACTCCTAAATGAAATAAATAAGTTACACGTATAAATACCGAATAGTTTCTCTGGTATGAAAAACTATAATGGTACATAAGATCCTAATGGTATAATTGACAATGTGAAATAGGAAGAAAAGGGCTAAAGGTTTAGGGAAAGTGAGAAGGGTAGGGGAAAGGGAATAAGGGAAAAGAAAAAAACATGAGAAAATGAAAAAAATGGAAATAAAGTGTTTGTAAATGGGGAGGGGAGGAGGGGGTGAAGGGAGGGCAGGGACAAGAGGAAAAAATGAGAACCAAGACCTGTCATGTAAAGGTACAAGATCCCAATGATGAATGTAACTGTACTGTATACCTAAAATGTACCAATAAACTTAATGAGGAAAAAGAAAGAATATTACTTGTGTGGAGTCCATTACTTGTGTGACCAACCTTAGCAAAGCTCTATGTCCTGAGAATCCCAGAGTCCAGGCAAACTGACACAGTTGGCTACATCAGTATGTATATACATCCAATAGAATAACATTTTTGTGGAGCAAATACATGAACAACAGTTGATATATTTTTCTTGTCTGTTATCATGAAAATTGTCTTTCAAGAATTAATTTCTTTAAAATACAGTCAAAGCGTTTGACTACTAAGTATGTACCACAGAATTTTGTTGTTGGTTTTTTTCGGGGGGACAAGATTTTGCTATGTAGTTCAGGCTGGTCTTGAATGCACTATGTAGCCCAGACTGGCCTCGAACTCACAGTTATCCTCCTGCCTCAGCTTCTGGAGTGCTGAGATTATAGGCACGTAACTGGCCATAATATGGCATAGTAAATTAGTTGTAGAAGATGACTAGGTTATTAAAAGGAAAAATGTGTGTGATGAGTATATAGAATATATATATTATATAGAATTTATAGAGTTTGGTACAGTATTTACAATTTGTACTTAATTGACTTCACTTAAAACAAAGAATTCAAGCTAGAAATAAATTATAATCAATCTTATTTCATTTCCTATCCAACCTTATATTAGAAAACTCTTCTCTGTTTTGTTTTTTATTTTTCTGTACTGGAGATCAAATTAAAAACTCTCCTTTGATAAGTTTACCAACACCAACTGTTTCTAGAATTATATTTTAGCTACTTAAGAAACAATACTCCTAAAGTTAAAAGTCTGAAGTAAAGTAATTATGTATATTCATGTTTATATTGTTGGAATCCATTAATATTACTGACACTTGCATTCAGTTTGATCAATATAGGAAGCTTGCTGGACTTTGGGTCAGAAACCCAGTGTTTAGAGGGCCGGGGATTTAGCTCAGCGGTTCGGTGGCCTGCCTCGCAAGTACAAGGACTGGAGTTCAATCCCTGGTACAAAAAAAAAAAAAAAAAAAAAAAAAAAAAAAGAAGAAAAAAAGAAAAAGAAAGAAACCCAGTGTTTAAACCCTGGTACTGACACCTACAAATTTGCTAACTGTGAGATGTCAGACCAATGAAAACGCTACAAGTTTCAAATTAGCCAAGAAATCAGAGCTAACAAGACTTGCGACTTGCCTGCCTTATTGGAAGGTTATGAAACAAATCATATACATGAAAAGTACTTTTAAACCATAAAATATTTGAAATAAAATCACCGTCTTAGGAAATGTTTGCCCAAGTTGTTCCCCATGTATTAAAATATAGGTAAGCAAACCAACAAAAATGCAGATAAGTAAAAATTAGGTCCCTTTACATTGTGGGTGAGTTTTAGGGTTCCTGTGTGTACAGGCCTCCCTCTACTTCACAGAGATATCTGCCGGTGAAGCCAAGAAAGTGCAACCTTACATGGGACCCCAAAAGAGATCTTTTTCTGTTCCAAGATGTGTCTCTATTCTTTGTTTTTTTTTTGTTTGTTTGTTTGTTTGTTTTTTGGTACTGGGGACTGAACTTGGATTCTTGGGCTGTACGGCAGGTGGTGGTACCACTGAGCTAAA